GCTATCCACCCGTGTGGTTCTCTTTATTTCCGCCCTGTCTAATCAGCCGACTTATTCAAAGCCCCAAGAAAGGTTGCGATCTCTCACGTTGGTCACGCCGACCACGTCGCCGACGCGTGACGCAAAACGAACCACGTGCTATCGACCTGAAACCCACCTACGCTATCTGCAGACTGACGCATGCCGTTTCAACCAATCATAGGATGGACTGGCTGTTGATTGGTTAGCTTGCCGGGTGATGGAAACGGCGACTATAGAGCAGAGAAACGTGTGGTCTATCCGCACATATCTAAAGCTATCGGCGATCGAGGAGCATGTCCGCGGAGATGCAGGGAGATTTCGAAGTTCTGCGTTTTATCGGAAGGGGTTGCTACTCTATGGTGTTTGAGGCCAGACATACTGTGGGGCATGATAGGAATGAATCCTATGCACTGAAACGGTTCTTCCTTCAGAACTCATCTGCCGTCAACTGTGCTCTCCGCGAAAGACGCCTCCTCGAAAAACTCGCCGTGCAACCCATCCAGTCACCATTCCTGCCAACTTTGTTCTACAGTTTTATGGTTAACAACGGCCCTGCGTTCTTGCTCCGAGAGGGCACCGGATGTGATTTATTCGACTTGCTGCACTCAAACGGCCTTCTGTCGGAGACTCAGGGTCGATTCTACGCAGCCGAAATAATCAGTGGCCTCGAACACCTCCATTCTCTTGGCATCGTCCACTTAGATCTCAAACCCGAAAATGTGCTCATGTGTCCTGCTGGTCATGTTTTCATCTCCGATTTTGATCGTTCCTATGACCTTACACAGAGCAATAAACGGCCCACAGACGACGATTTTACCGGAACTCCCCTCTTTATGGCCCCAGAGATAGCCAAAGGAGAGGTTATCACTACTAAAGCGGACGTCTGGAGTTTGGGTGTATTAATGGCAGAAATGGTCGCCGGTCCCATCCGCCCTGTCGCCAAGGATGTCGCTGAGGATCTTCGGTGGGCCAAAGAAGGACGCTATACTATCCGACGTCTAAAGAGTTTCACGAAGCCTCTACAAGCTTTCTTCAGCACCTGTCTTCAGCGGAAGCATCAACAACGTCCGGACTTGACTGTGGTTCGTCAGCTCC